ATCTTCAATTAATTGAAGATTAGGTGTTGATGGTGGTCCTAATGCTTCACTTGGCTCAAAATTTAAATCAATTCCATCAAATTCATGTGTTCGTAAAAGTTTGGTTGTTGATATAACAAATTTTTGACGTGAATCATCTTTTGACATCATTTCATTAGCTCGTCGAATAGCATAATCTTGACCACCAACAGCTAACAAAACTTTAAGATCTGGATCTTTATTATTCTTAAATTCTTTCAAAGGATTACTCCACACGCCTATTAAAAAAATCATATAGATAATAAGCAATCACGCTAATACAAGAAAAAGGTGAGTGTAAAGAAAAATGAATATTAGTGTTTACATGTAGATATATAATTACTTACCAGTAAGTGTATTATCATCTTCAATGCGTGCAAATGTATATACAATATGTGTACAATTTTTCGCTTCGGGATGTATACCAGTCCATGATGAAAAATAACATATTAATTTAAACTCTTCACCACAATCAGCATTTATCAATGCTAAAATCATGCTCAATAATAATAGTGTTATATTCATTGTCGACAAATTGACAATGAATGTGTCAGTTATTGAGTAAAGAATAAGAGAAGAACAACGAAGAGAAAAGAAAATGTTGTAATCGTCATTCGTTGTCATCAAAAGTCTTTCGGGATCAAAGACAATACATAAAGTTACGGCGACTATGTGTCCGATACATTGAATAAATATAGGCTCAAACGATTAATTCATTTCTTTCATTTCGGGACAGCATGATCATATTGATGTTTTAGTATTGACTAAAGTTATTGTTTTCTGTTTTTTATTGATTAACTAAACAAGAGGATTTAGCCTATAAAGAAACATAGTAACTCGATTTGACTTCATCATTTCGTTGTGAATTATACAAAAGCATGATGAGACAACTAATGTATGAAAATATTTGTAATCACTTTACAAAATGTAGAATAATAAACAGTAATAAAAGTTTGTTTAATGTTGTAATATATTTCAATAGTCTAGTCACTTTTTCGATAATTCTTATATATCTTTGATAAACTCTAGACCTACCAGATGGATTAACATTATTTTTAATACAAGTATAAATTAATTTCATTGACTATAAGATAAAACTAAATTGTTCAGAACTTTAGTGATGTTGACAATTCTTTTGTTGATAAAAAGGTGGACATTTATTCTTCATAAAATATATCCAATATAGATGATGAGAGAGCCTCTGACAAGTCATTTCGAACTATACAAAAATTGCTGATTACAAAAATTATCAGTTAATATATCATATATAGATATATGTAGATATAGATATCCTAAAAATATAATGCTCAGTCAAGTACATGATTTATACTACCAATGACAAAATAGTTCCCAATCGTAATTTTAATATAAAATCTAAAGTTTATGATTAGAACAAATTGATATAGGTATATGAACAGTACAAGACTAAATGCTTCTAAAAGATACTAAGTGTTAATACATTTTTGAATAATATCTTGTTAATAAGCCATTCAATGCTTCATCGATAGTATTCTCTAGTTAAGTAAATAATATGGAATTATGTCAATGGTCGTATTATAGTTCTACTTGTAATGCTTAGTATCGAACCTTATGAAATATTAAATTAAAAAACAACATTTAAAAATCACAATGAGATCAATAAAGCACGAAGTCACTTAATAAGCTTCACTTTAAAAAGTTAATTTTAGCACGAATTATCGAAATTAAGATAAATATATGAGAATATAGCTTGAGGTTTGATCTATCATAGATAGTATCATTTTTTTAATCAACATCTTGTTTCTTGTGAAAATGTTTATGATTTCTGTTATCGCCTACTTGACAAATAGGCTATTCTCAGAAAAATACAGAAAAAAATTATCGTTTTTTTTCGCTCTTTATGCCTTTTCAATTGCACATTACAAAATTCTTAAAGAAGCTTAATTATAAAGGATTGCTTTTTTCTAGTATCAAAGAACATGTCAGGATGCAGGGCATGACAAAGTCCTTTTATTGAATTAAGCTTTATTATTGTTATATACAAATATATATCTATAATTAGAGCGGCACTTTTTTAGTTTATTGAGGCATTGAACTTCTTTCTACTTAAAAAGTAAGAATGTAGAAAAAAAAGAGTTCTTCTATGCCCTGTATCCTGACATATCTTTTAAAACAAAAAAAGAATGTAAGTATATAGAATGAAGGTTCATAGAGAATTTTGTGTTGTCACATGAGCTATTTCAAAACTTTTTTAGTTGCATATCTCCCGAAAACATCATGGTATAGGGCTGAAAATTCTACCATAGCCTCTCAATTACAATTCCAAAATATCCCGAAGATTTCATACGATTTGAATATATCTGACCCAGCATCGATTTTTGAGGACTAGAAGATCTTAAGAAATATTACTCGGGATTGTATTAAAAACTTTATACGATGTGCTAACACTTTGTATCTACGTGTTAAAGTTTTACTTGTATTAGAAGCGTCGACTCTTGTACAATTCATAAATAGTCAATAGATATTAATCAATTATTAGTTTAATTATGCTACTCTAATTAGGAAGAGTATGTACGTATATGTGGATTTCATATTCGCATTTTTACCGTGATAAGATGTATTTTTATATTCTTTCATAAAATAAATCAATTTCTGACGATCAATTATATTGTGATCTTATTTTTTTTTTATTATTTATTTAAAAAAAAGTGTTAATGTACCAACAGACGAAGAGTGAAGTATCAGGGATTTAATCGAATGAGAAATAACCAGTTTTGAAAATTAACGAAGCGAACACTATGCATAATAGGTTAAAAGTTTTATTCCATTACTCATATCGCATCGTCGTACATTCGATTGATGCTTGTCGAATAGCACGCGACGTTATATAATAAATCCTTAATATATTTTGAAATTTACATTGAAAAGAAAATTTTCCAGATGCTTTCGACAATATATTTTAATAAAAGTTCTATTTCGTTCACATTATGTCAGTCATATGTGAAAGACAAAAACATGCAAATAACAAACTAATATGTATCTGTCAATAATAACAATCATTAGATTTTCAAAAACAGAAGTCATCCGAATTTCAAATAATCATTTTCAAAAGTTTACGCAGCTTCCATGTTTCTATATTTCCTGAAAATTCATGTTCATATTTGTATGTCATTTTGAAAGTAATGAATTTCGAAATTAAGTTTTTTTTAATTTCGCTCGAGAAAATTTGCTCATGTTTTATCGGTAAAGCAAATAAATACTAGGACATCTTAAGGGGAAACTAACTCTATTGTCTAATGACTATGAATTCCGATCTCTTGTGATACAATATGAAACATACTAAGAAAGGTAGTTAGTGATTATCTCTGCTTAGAACCTGAAGTTCATATTCATAAAGTACTATCTAGTGCCGATAGGAATACTAAATAAAGAATTTTGTAAATTATTGAGTTTTCAAATGAAATCAAGGATATATATATTTTAGTTAATTTTTTTTCTATTTCAAAGAACGTGTAAATACAGATTCAATTATGTTTTTTTTTCTCAAGGGCAAGCGTTGTCTAAGACCTTATAAAATTTTATGATTAACAGAACTTGGTTAAATAAGTTCTTTTAAAAAAACAGACAAAACCAGCATTATTTCAATATTTGAATCTTATTGACTGTTTCTAAAATGTTTCATTTTAATTAATACTTACGAGAAAAGGTCTCCAAGTGATTAATTGCTTTCAAGCTGAGACTCTATTCAATCGGTAAGACCTAGTAAGTAGGTAAATATTGTGGAGTGATTCGAGTTGCTGGACCTTTCTTGCTGAAATTTTGAATGTTTAGTAGATTTTGCCTGTAGGATCCCAGTTTTCAAGCGAAATCATACTTTTGAATTTTGACCTGACACTTTGTCTAACTAAAGATACCGATTATAATAGCTTGCAGAAAAAATTTCACAATTTCTTCATCAAACTTCTCCACGATATGAATTTTTTGAAATATAGAGGCTTTATCATGATTATTGTAAAAAACACGAATATTTTGAAAGATTTATATCTTGGAAAGACTTAGTGAAAAAATTCTAAAATTTTTCCTAAAAACTAGACTAATTGATGCCTTTATATGTACGCAGTTTCATATCTAAATTCTAAAATACAAATTTATTTGAAAACTGAGGTCATACAAGAAAGATGCACTAAAAGTTCGATATCTTAGTAACAAGTTTTCAGCAACTCGAATTACTCTAGAATATTTACTTACTCATTAGATCCAATCAATTGAATATAGTTTCAGCTTAAAATTGATTTATCACTTGCGAACTATGAATAGTAACATACAAGTTTAAATGCTTCTTCATGTCCTCTGAGACATAAATGATTTATAAATAACCCAGAAAAAAAGTCCAGCAATTGGAATAATATATTTCTCATTTTTTTTTCTAAATACAACTTCAAATTTCTTTTTCATCTAAAGACAATATATGTATAGTAGTTTCACTTGATTATTTTCTCAAGCATAATTTGAGTTTCCAAGGTAGAAGAATTATTGGACTATGTGCAACAATAATTTAAATCGATGATATCTTGTCAAATTAAAGCCATTAGAAACATTAATTGATATTAATTCACACGATAACCTGCATTCCAGCATGATTATACCTTGTTCGGCTGTTTTTTCCGGCCCTCTCCTTGATAGCATGACAACTCATCCGACTGATGTTGCACCTGCTACAGTACGACAAAGACAGAAAGGAGAAAAGTTCTGTATATACTTTCTTTTTCTTTTCTCACGACATCGTCAGTTACTCGAGCAGTGACATTACTAACATTAGTAGCATTTTTCATTTTTTTACCGGTTCTTTCATTCACCTATTTCTTTCATTCTTTCTCTTATTCTCTCTACCATTTATTTTCATTTGCATAACTCTTCTATCGTTTGTTCAACTTATTTTATTTCACATTCATAATCAATTTCTTGTGACGACATTGAACAACGACCTTGTTCAATAAAAACGGATGCATAATCAACATGAATCTCGTCAATATCAATATAGAGCAAGCACAAATATTCGTGAACGGCCATTACATTTTTGTATTATCTTAGTTTCACTTTTATTCATTTTTCTACTTGTTATTGAATCAGCAGCATTTATTGTACTTGGTGCTTGGCATCTTATTATTCCACGTCTTGAAACTGTATTAACTTTTTCAAATGAAATCTATCGACGTGAGTTAGGCTTTGGTATTCTTCTTGTTATTATTGGATCATTCGGCATTTTAATAAGTATTCTGGGTCTTATTGCTTTTTTTACTTTACGCTTAGTATTATTGAGAATCGTGAGTAAAAAAGAAAACCAACAAAAGCAATTATTTTTGTGCATGATGTTTATTGATTGTTTTAGTTTGAATTATGTTTATGGCTTTTGATGATTGTTGGCGTAGTGGTTGGTATTATTGGTATTATTTTTGCATGTAAGTTTCAGTTATTGATGAATTTTTAGTTTTGTAATAGAAGATAATCAATGAAATATTTTTAGCACAAGTAGATGACTTTATGAGTCAATCAAATAATCCAAATGTAACTGAGAGAACCGTAAGTTTTTAAATGATTTTGTATATCTCTTTTGATTAATTCTGTTTGAATGACAATACTGATAAATCTTCTATTTAGTATGCTGAAGAGAAGTTTATGTTAGGAATGAATGGTGGATTAGTTTTATTCATGAGTTTCACCTTGGTGAGATTAGTTAATATGTCAATATTATAGGATAAATTGTTTTTTTATTATTGTAGCTTATTGGTATCACAATAGTTCGTTGTTTGACGGGTGATGTCAACTCATATTCAAGTGGTCGTTCGTATGTTCGGACACAATGAAGTGTCTGTAGACATTAACTGATGGCAGAAACGAACAATGTAAAATAGACAATAAGATACGCAATAGTTAGTTGTTGTTACTTGACCGTATAGTCTTATGAAATTTGAAACAACGAATACATTATTATGTAAAAAATATAGAGAATGCATATCATGTACAGACATGTGCTGTCAGGTCAGGTGAAGACAACTGAAAATTTCTATTTTAAAATCGTTTATGTTTGTGACCTTAGTTTTGTCTTAAATAAACCAATAATTTTTTTTTTGTTTATCAATAATGTGCAATGAATTTCTTTGACAGACCAATCTACGAAATGTTTGTTTATGGTGATTTTAAAAACTTGCACTCTATTTTTATCCAGTTTTATTTTGATCCAAATACATTTAACACTACTCATCAAACAATAGATTTCGTATTATTAAGATGCTACTTCAAATTGTTTTCAATTTCTCGATTTACTCTATTTGTCAACTCTGGTAGATCATTGTTTCGCTTTAAAAATTCAATCCATAGTTCAAGTGAACGTGTATGAAATAAATCAGTTGCTAAATGATGATCATCGGTTATATTATTTGGAGTCAAAATTTCTATACTGATAGTACATCGTACATTAATTAATTTTGTTTTTGGATCACAAATAAGATGTCGTTCGTCTTTTAATTCACGACGTGTACAAAAATTTTCAAAGCCCCATGAGAAACCATTTGATGGAAATATTCGTTGTTGAGTACATTTGTTAATAAAAATTAGAAGAGATGGTTTTGTATTAGTAATCATCGAAAGTTTATATGAACATAATGTACACGGAGCACCATCAATTAATGTTAAATATATACCTAATACTGTTGGATGCAACCTGTCTACTTGTAAACGCCATGTAGTATTATTAATCGAAGAATAAAATAATGGACTATAAAGGCATTCTTTTTCAATTTTTTTTAATTGCTTATAATTGAACCAACAATTGAATTCGAGACATTCGATTGTTGATGTCATTATGTGAAGCTAAATAAATAATGATTGTTGTTCAGCTGGAATAAAATATTAAAAGAAAAATATTGAATAAGACTAATCTCTTTTTAGTTGTTCTCTTCAAATTATGAACGATTGTTTATCGTTAAATAAATAGAAAAGAATAACTCAACTTATTGAACTTCTTTTTGTTCAAAAATTCAGTATTTTGATTTCAAATTCAATAAGATCATTATTTTTCACATTAACTATTTATTCAAAACAAAACTTGCACCAAATTATGTTTCTCAAATATCACCCATAGCTTCTCATAGATAAATCTAATTAGAGACTGCTAAGTTTTCTTTATATACCATTGATTAGAAACTTAGTTAAAATTAATATTGAATTATTCTATTCAAATTCTAAAGAATATTACGTAATATTCGATTTCATTAGATAATAATATTTAAAAAGCTCTACATACGATGTTAGCACAAATTATATTTATGGCTACATCAACAAAGGATACCTTCATAAGTCATCATATAAACTTATCTTAAATTTTATGGAACATACACTATATATAGAAACAAATTTTATAATAGTATGACTAAAATGTCCTAGTCCTGAAATTTTTTCCTTTTTTTGTCATTAAAATCCATTCATATACAAATTGTTACTTAATTTTTCTATAAGCATGTGACTGATTAACATATGTTCACCTGTTTAGAAATTCATTTTTTAATATTTATAAAAATTCTTGCTAAGAAATTTTATCGCATATGGCGTGTTCCGTACACCTACCTAACAAGTCAGCAACTTGAGTCAATATAGACGGCAAGCTTATTGGTAGCTATCCCTGTCAATGAAGGAGAACCAAACAGAATGAGAAATATTCTATGCACACACATTTACATAGGCTCTTTTTTTATTTGTACTCTTTTCTGTTAGTATGGCGAACAAAAACAAAATATGGAGAGTAGCAGAACGGGAACAAACAGAAAACTAATCAGATGCGTAAAAAAACAGTAAGAGAAAAATATGAGTCATAACACATGAGTAGTAGTACCTATAATTGCTCATAATCATCTTTTTTGTATAGGCCTCTTATGACAATAAACTCACTATTCAGTAGAGAACATTGAGAGTCAAATACTTTAAATAGTACCATGATTGATTGAATGATAATAAATATTATTTAGAAAATTTTTTAAATATATTTCTTAAAATATCCAAATAAAAATTGTATAATTATTTGCTTTTAACAATTCAAGATAAAAGCATCCTTTTATGCAAAAAACTGTTTGATTTATGCAAACAAATAATATTCTTTAAGAACAAGTCAAAATGTTATGTATACAAGTCAGTTGAATATTGAATTCATATGAAAGCAAGAAATCTGTTAACTTCTGAATTTTATCGGTTTGATTGGAAGCTAAAAAAAACATCTTGATTTTACTAAGCTTAAAAGATTAGCCTATGTAAAAAAAAGAACTTGCTCATATATCTTTCATCTTTTTGTTCTAATATTCTTTTCTTTAGCAAAAGAAAAAAATAACCAACTACCTTTCCAAAATAGAAAAAGATGGAGTTTGAATAATGGTTGCAGAAAGTGCACATACAATGGAAGAAAAAAAAACGAAATAATGCAAATACAATAAAGAAAAACCAAATGTGAGTATTAACATAAAAGTTCATTTCAAGAATACTAAACAAAAAGAAAGTTAAGATAAAAAAACCACAACCAAATATATATTTATTTAAATAACCTACGTATTAAAAGTCTTTGTATAATATGTTTGATCAATTTTCGTTCATTTATAAGCCATTGAAAAGAATCAAAAGTATTCAGTTAGAATCAGAATTTTATGCTCTTTGTAACTGTATATTCAGAATTTATTTTTATGACTTACGGTTTGTGAACTGTAAGCAAATATGTAAATAAATGAAAAACAATATTATTTAATAGACTTTTTTCTGTTATTGATAACTTCTCTAGAGAGAATTTCGAGATAGCTTTGAGTTTGTCCTAAATCATGAATTACATTAAGTGAAAACTTGAAAAATCAAAAGCTATACACATTTTTTTAAACATCGGTACATAATGAGTGATCAGAAGGTTTTTCGTCAAGATGCCTATTCACTTTTAACCCGCTATAAAGTGTTTCAAATGGATCAAAAGCTATCAGTTAGCATGCTCTTTTCGAATATGGGCTTAGAAACTTACTGTCAGTTTTTATTCAAGAGTAGTTAGAGACTTTTTGAAAGATCTGGAAAATTAATTTTAATGGTGAGCCAGCAGATTTTTGTTTACTTTATAAGTCTCTTCGTCGAACATGCTAAAAATTGTCATAGTCTATCGTTTTGTAGAGCTGATACTTCTCTACAAAATGTGATGCTAAACTAAGCTGCAGCTTTTACCCAAGTGTTTTTTCAAGAGCTTCTTTCAACGTAAAACAGGTATCGGTCTTTCTGCAGGGTAGCTTCTAATCTACAAGCTGATGTATAAATAAAAATGGGGAATTTTGGTTTCGAATCGGAATAGCAAAAATTTTTTATTCAAACTAATTTTTTGAACTTTTCAAAGGTTATGCCGATCCTCTCGAACAAAAACCTAGACAACTTTCCTAAATTCATATTCAAAAAGAGCAGAAAATCATGGTTTTTGACTCGTTGGAAATATTTCGTAACAGGTTAAAAGCGGACAAACATCTGGTTCAAAAGCTTTCTGATCATCCGTTAGAATACAATAGGCTTTGATCATTGGTAACGATAAGTAAAGATAAAAGAAAGTGTCACTCTTTAATTTTGATCAAAATACAAAACTAAACTAAATAAAAAATTCTTTACTGACGTCATCGTCGATTTTTCAGGAAAAAGAATTTAAATCTATAGTAAGAAAAAAGTATGAAATTTTGATTCTAGCTAATTACTTTTGATTCTTTTCGATGACTTAAAATTGCACGAAAATTTATCAGATATAATGCACGAAGCCTTTTTATACATAGATTATCGTCCATGTTTCTAGGTTTGACTAGGAAATTAAATGACAATAAAACCAAAGTTTGAAGTCAATTTTGAAGTAATAAATTTGTCGTACTATTGATGGTAAACATGACTTCTGAAATTGAATTTTCAGACTAGATTTAAAAAAGAAAAAACAAAATCATTTAAGTAATAAATAAAAATAAGACTTACTACACATTTATTTTGTTCATTTGTATCAGTTATCGTAGACTGTTCAAAATTGTTTAGTTCACCTGGTGTTGACGACAATGTATTAGATTCAAGTAAATCTGGAAAACTACCAAATGACAAATCAGACATCTAAAAAAGTAATTGAAATACATCATTTTTTTGTTTCGCTTTTGAATAATACAAAACTTACATTATCCGGCCAGTCAAGACGTAGTCGTGAAGTATTGCTTTGTAATGCTGCATTAACAATAGTAGCTAGAACAATAGAATAAAATAAATAACTTCTATAGGAATGTCAGATAAATCATTATACTGCTCAATGAAACTGTGCTCATATTGGTATTATCATTTAGAAGATCATCTTAAACAGAAATCAAATGTAAAAAGAAAATTACAAAAGATTTTATGATTATTACTTGGATTTTCACAATCACTACGAAATACATCATTTGAGGATGTCGAAAGATCAGGGGTATTATTTGTACTAAACATGAGACGTTGATTTGCTGCTGCTGTTTGTTGTGCATTTATATTCGCATCTGAAGAGAAAAGATAACAAATATTATTCGAAGAAATAAAATGAGTTTTGTTTACCAATTAAAAGTTGAATATTTGAAGGACGAGTCGATTGATCACCATAACGTAATGGACGTCGTACCTATAAAACAAATGTATAATGAAATTTTGAAAAACAAAACTGAATATAGAGACCCTTGCTTCTTTTCGAGGTTTCTTGAAAACAACTTGATGAATAATTATGAAAATTTTAAGACAGATGGATCTCAATGGTTAGAGCAAAAATTGTCATAGACTAAAAATTTCCAGATGCTTTCTTCAGGGAGATATAGAGATCGTAGTTTACTTCATTTTTTCGAACTTCGTTTTTTTCATGACAACGAAGATCAAATTGGAGTGCATACGTTTTCTGTTTCTCTTAAATATTTCGTTCCTAGACCTTAAGAGTAGCAAAAAATTGGAAGCATTGAAAAAAAGCAGTATTTTTTTAATAGTATTGACTTTTGAAGACTGCTGAATTTCGTAGAAACAACATTTTGAAGAAAAATAAAAAAAAATTATCTTCCTGTGATTATCAGAACTCTTTTCTCCAGGTGTAACGGGTTTATGACTGATGTTCGAAGCATCTTTGTCACAAGGGAAATAAGCATTATTATTAAACGAATTCTGCATAGAAAATAGTCGTAGCGCGAGCTTTTCTGCTAGAAAGGATGGGGGCGTATAAGGGCCAGTTTTGGGCGATCGCTAGTTTTGGTTGGTTCATGGTTTACTAGATGCAGAATTTTACGAGGAATCGTTTGGTTCCAAAATCAAGCTATTTCGAAAGTGTGTAGAACGACTTTTGTCATACATGCTACATGCTTTTTCCTACTATAAATGTATGATTCATGCACAGCGGTTTCAGAAATCTATGCCTTCTTCAAATGAGTATTTTCGTATCAAAAATGATGTCAATCGACTATCCATTTTATAGTCTATTTTTGGTAAAAATTTCAGATCGAACGATTGAACTGTTGCCGAGTAATGATGTAAATAGTGCTTGACATTAACATAATTGTACGATCATACAGTTCGCTTCAGCACAGTGTTTTCTCAATATCTCTGAAAAGGAGAATTATAACATGGGCTTTTGATTGATTCTGAAAGCTTGAATTAAGGACTACAAAACCAGATACTTTTTGATTCTTTTGAAAGTGATCTTCATTCAGTAAGACGACCTGACCTTCTCTGCGACACCATATTTTTCAATTTTTCACTAGTTTTCAATATATTTTCATTGAAAAAAGTAAGATTTGAGTCAAAACGAATAGCATATTTGGAATCTTCAT